GTTTTCTCTGCTCTGTGGTACAGTTGCTAATTCGCTGCCGTATAGTACCATTGTCTGCACTTTTGCTCCGTCGACGTCGCTGCTTTGATTTACCGCAAGCCGGACTATTTTCGGTGTACCGCAAGTCCTTCAGCAAACAATCAGCCCTATTCTGCATTTCGACTCGAATCGAAATTTTCTCCGTTCGGCAACTTTGGTATTCTGCGTTCCGTTTCGTTTCGACCAATCTTCGAAATATACGATTGTACCTATTCTACATTTCGATCGTAGTTACGTTTTTCTAAGTTGCAAATTTGTTGACGGAGAACGTTTCGATTGTTATTTTCGTGGGTTTAAATATTAAAGTTTTATAAAAAAAATTAAGTGAAATATACTGTGCATGATTGTAAAAGTCATCATAAATTAATTTTCTCGATTTCTGTGTTTTCGCGAGCAGCAATACGGGCAATACGAAAAATTGGCTCAAATAATGGCAACCAAAAGGGATATTGCGCAAGGTTTTCAAAGAGGAAATCCAGGGGCTCTATTCTGTAACTGTGAGTTTTCAAGTGTACACTGAGAATTGTGTGCACTCTTCATTTTGCTTTGATTAAGGAAGAGTGGGAATGAGTTTTAGCTGTCAAAATTGTGTACACTTCCTCATTTTGCGATTCAGCATGTGTGAGAATGAGTTTTAACTGTCAAAATAGTGTACACTTCTCTTCCAAAAAACTTACTGAATTTTAGTCGGTGAGTTTTTGGTTGTGAGTTTTGCACTCGGTGTACACAACATTTTCTCACAGTTACAGAATAGAGCCCCAGGTGTTTTTGTTTTCATTATCTGTAAATAAGACTGTGAAATGCACTGAATACATTTTATTCTTTTTATATAACATACATACGTACATAAAATGTGGAGTTATGTACATAGAAAAGATGTTTTTATTATTGTACTCGTTTTTACTAACTTTTTAAAAAGAGGTGTGCATGTTGTCTCGAATACGATTTGCTATGGAAGGATAAGCTTTGTTCTTCCCCTCCTCCTGACGGCTTTCAAAATCGAATTCATTTGCGTTCAAGTTTTCCACTCTGTACTAAATGCAAATGTTGTGGAGTGCGGTGAGAATGCAGTTCAAGATGAATTTCTTCTTGATACTTATCCAGTTATTAAAGTATCCACAATAAAACTCGGGACCGAACTGTCTTCAATGACGTTTATTCAGGAACTAAAAACTAGTTTAACATATGTATG